ATGGACGTGGTGGGCCCCCTGAAGCTTGGAGCTGCTGGAGCTGAGTATTTTCTCACCATTGTCGACGTCTACACCCGCATGACTTGGGTGTATGTGCTGGCCAAGAAGAGCGACGTGGCTGAAACGTTGAAGACGGATTGGTTCCCGATGGTGGAGCGGCAACAAGACCGTCTAGTCAAGTCAATCCGCACCGATCGAGGGGGAGAGTTCCTGAGCAAGGAGTTTGGGTTGTGGCTGAAGAAGAATGGTATTCGGCACTCCCTCACCATGCCATACTCCCCTGCAATGAACGGCATCGCCGAGCGAGCGAACCGCACAATCACGGAGGCGGCACGCGGGTTTCTCATTGAAGCCGGGCTACCCGACTATTTCTGGCCTGATGCGGTGCGGAGCGCGTGTGTGGCCAAGAACAGAGCCTTGACTCATGTGGGAGCAGACAAATGGGTGCCCTATGTGGAGTGGCTAGGAAGGAAGCCAAAGGTGGATATGCTTCGGGTGTTCGGGTGCATGTGCATGGCGCTCGTGCCTAAGCATCTTCGGCACAACAAGCTTGGTGCCAAGGCGGTGTGGGCCGTGCACTTGGGCATGGCTCAAAACAGCAAGGGATGGCTTCTTTGGGACCCATTCACCAAGAAGTTCTTGGTGAGCAGGGACTGCAAGTTCATGGAGAACTTCATGTACAAGGATTGGAAGGCGGAGAATGAGGCGAAGATAGGCGTGCGGTTTGGGGAGGTGAAGAGTTCCGGTTTGGAGCATGTGGAGCTGCCTTTGGAGCTGAGCAGCGGCAGCACAACCACAAGGCAATCCTCCCTTGTGAATGGGGGAGAGGAGGCCAATGATGCAGAGGAAGAAGAGGAGGAGGTGCAGCAAGTGAGCGAGCGTGCACCGTCACTCCCTTCCCGTACTACGAGTGCTCCACGGATTCGAGCCACACCGCAGCAACGCCAAGGCCTTCAAGTCCCTGCAGCTGAGGAGGAAGGAAGGGGGAAGAGGAGAGTTCAACCCCCTAATAGGCTGACCTATGATGCGCCGGGAAAGCAGGGCAAGACAGCCCTGGCCGGAGCAGCAATGATGGTCGGAGACGACGAGGAGAGTGACTACGAGGAGTGTGCCTTCGCGTTCTTCTCTCCGGTAGAGATGCCGGGAGAACCAGCAACTCTCAAGGAGGCTTTGGAGAGTAGTGATGCTGAGGAGTGGAAGAAGGCCATGGAGAGTGAGCTGAAGAGCATCGAGGAGAATGACACGTTTGAATTGGTGGAGCTACCGGAGGGGCGTACGGCGATAACGTCCAAGTGGCTCTTCAAAATCAAGTCGGATGCCGACGGCAAGATCGAGCGCTACAAGTCTAGGCTTGTAGCCAAGGGATATCAGCAGAAGGAGAAGGTGGACTTCAAGGAGCTGTTTGCCCCTGTGGTGAAGCCGACGACGCTGCGAACCCTATTCGCGGGAGCCGCCATCAAAGGATGGGTAGTAAAACAAATGGACATCGTAACGGCATTCCTTAACGGCATCCTTGAGGAGGAGATTTTTATGGCGCAGCCAGAGGGGTTTGATGATGGTAGTGGCAGAGTGTGGAAGCTGAATAAGGCCCTCTATGGGCTGAAGCAGGCCCCTAGGCAATGGTACATGAAGCTGCGCGAAGTGTTGGAGGGGATCGGCTTCACTCCCTCAACGGCCGATCACTCCTTGTTCATGCTTGGCGAGGGGGAGCAGAGGAGCTTCATGGTGGTGTACGTGGACGACGTCCTGATCTTCTCACCCTCTCCTGACCTTGTGAAGGAGGTGATGCTGAAGCTGCAAGACAAGTTCAAGTGCAAGTCCCTTGGTGACGTGAACTTCTACCTTGGGCTCCATATCGAACGAGACGTGGAGAAGCGGAGCATGCGAGTGCACCAACGGAAGTACCTGGAGGCGTTGGCTGCCAACTTCGGCCAGAGTGAAGGTCATGTGGCTACTCCCTTTCCCTCTGGGTTCAAGTGTGTGAAGGGGCCAGAGGAGGAGAGCGTTGGAGAAGAGGAGAGGCGCCGATTTCACTCGTTGGTGGGCAGCCTTATGTATGCGGCGGTAAACACCCGACCGGACGTCGCGTTTGCTACCGGGCAGCTGGCTAGGGTTGTGCAATGCCCTAATGAGGAGCAGGTAGCAGCTGGAATGAGGGTGGCCAAGTATCTTGGCCAAACACCGACCGTTGGGCTGCAATACTCGGCGGCGGCACAAAGGCGCCAAAAGGGCGCGGATGGTGTTGAACCCGGGCGTTTGTTCCTCACCACCTACTCGGATGCTTCATATGCATCAGAACCAGAGGACATGACAAGCGTGGGAGGCTTCATATGCTGTGTTGGTGGAGGCCCAACTGCTTGGGAGAGCAAGAAGCAGGTTGACCAAGCTTTGAGCTCGGTGGAGTCCGAGTACATGGCACTCTTCCGTGCCGTACGGGAGATTGTGTGGCAGCGGCGTTTGTTGGCTGAATTGGGGGAGGAGCAGCAAGGACCTACCCCACTGTACTGTGACAGCCAGGGTGCCATTGCTCTTGCTAAGAACCCTGTGTTGCATGGACTCACGAAGCACATGAGAGTGAAGTGGCATTGGACGAGGAGCATGGTAACCGCGGGTGAAGTTGAGTTGCGCTACGTGAAGACCACGGGGCAGCCGGCTGACATGATGACCAAGAGGCTGGTGGAGCAGCAGCATTGGAAGTGTTGCAAGCTGGCTGGGATGGCTCTGAACTGAGAGAGCAACATATCCTAAGGCCAACAATCCGAGGGGGGGTTTGTTGGTGCAACCCTACGGTTTGCACTCGGCTTGTTGTCCGTGTGCGTGAATGTGTGTGTGTATGGAATGGTATGAGGGCATGGGATAATATATATTTCATGCTTATAATTGTGTGTGAATGTTGAGTCATGATGTCGAGTGTGTGTGTCGAGTCAATAGCGAGTTATCGCTAGACGCGTGTTACGCGGTCGTTTGTGTCTCGCGCGCGGTTTCTATTTTGTCGTGCGCGGTTTCTATTTTGTCCTGTGTCGAACGTTCGGCGTGTCGCAGGTGTGTGCAGCAGACCCATCAAGAACTCAAGGATGAGTTTGTGATGAAGAGCCCGAGCCTTGGTGTCAAGCCTCAAGTGATTTCGAAGCTCGCCAAAAGGGTACACCTCAAGATATTGAAGATAGTTACATTACTTTGTGTAGTGTAACATTTCACTTGGTGTAGGCCCTAGTGAAGGGTAGTTTCGAGACCCTTCGTGGTTGGGGACAGTGTGGCACTGTTCCACATCACTGTACCTCGGCTCTTGGGGTTTGTAGGAGCTGGGAGTCATTCCCAACTCGTAACTCTTCCTAACTCTTCCTATCTTGTGTTCTAAGTCTATAGTGGCTGCAATAGTGCCGTTCGTTCAAACCGACGCTGTGTCGTCAATACTTGGTCAAATCGTGCGATCTAAATTGCCTAGTGTAGGCGACAATAAGACGCTCCAGATCCAAGTTGAATCAAGTCATTTGAAGCTGTGACCAGAACGCTATGAACGTTTGAAGCCGCTGTGCAGAAATCCGACTGTGCACTCTATCTTTCGTTTTAGGCACATTGGAGCCTACTGTGACTATAACAAGTGGTATCAGAGCCCCTTGGAGCAGTTTCGACAATTGCTGGACCTGAGGAAAGGGGTGGCAGAGGTGCTGGTGGCAGTGGAGAAGCCCAAGCTCAAGGCCAACCCCGTGACTCAGCCATGGCGCCCGTGCAACCAAGTGTTGGCCCATCTAGGGACGAGCCTAGAGTGTTTGGCCTTGACAAGTCCAACGGCGACAACTTTGCTGAATGGTCCTTCAGAATGGAGAATGTGTTCGACCACTATGACCTGCTGGAGGTGATGGAAGGAACGGAGAAGCGTCCCGAGAACGACCCGGAGAAGAGCCCGTGGGTGCGGAAGAGCGCACAAGGCTACCTCCTACTTGGGCAAGCGTTGGGGAGCATCCAGATCCGTCACATCAAGCCATTCCAGCGTGAACCAGAGAAGGGACCAAAGGCATGGGCTGCTCTCAAGGGTGTACACGCTCCTGCAACAGCGGCGGTAGCTGTGGTGTTGGAACGGCAAATGGCGACGCTACGAATTGAGGAAGATGAACCCGTGGAAGACGGGGTGCAGAAATTCTTCGACTTGTTGACGCGGCTTGAGGGAGCTGATTTGAACTACAGTGAGCTCCAGAAGAAGACCAAGTTGCTGGCCCTACTCCCCGAGTCATGGTCCTCACTCATCATCAACTTGAACCGTGACCTGCCCCGTCTCTCGCTTGAAGACGTGAAACGCGCAATCCTACAAGAGGACTTCCGCCGCCGTGAGTTGGCGAGTGCGGATGGCGCTGGGGCAGCAAGCGTCGGCCGTGGATATGGCCGAGGAAGAGGCAGAGGACGAGGGGGAGGAAGGTTTGGTGGCAGCAACTTCAGTGGAGGCCGCGGGAGTGGCGGTTACGGCAGCGACGACAAGAGCTACGGGCGCGGTCGCGGCCGATTCGATGGCGAGTGCCATTATTGTCATAAGACCGGACACATGTGGCGCGATTGCTACAAGCTCCCTGATGGTTGGACCCCTGCTCAAGACCAAGAGGGTAGAGGAGCAGGTGGAGGGAGAGGAAGAGGCCGTGGAGGCCGTGGAGGCCGTGGCGGCCGTGGTGGCGGAGCTGCAAACATGAAGAGCGGAGACAACGACAAGGACCCGAGCGACGATCGGTACCCGGGTCTATGCTACTTCGTGTCGACGCAAGTACCAGCTGGTCCAGAGAAGGATGAAGGCTTTGAGGAGCCAGCAGCTGTAGGGAAGGTGACCCTACTGAACGTCTCCCTTTCACACGCACCTTCTACCTGCGCCCCACAAAGGTCTCCCCCCCTGAAAGTCTTCCCTTCACATACACCTTCTCCCAACCTGCGCCCCACAAACATCTCTCCCCTAAACGTCTCCCGTTCACACGTACCTTCTCCGAGGCTGCGCCCCACAAATGTCTCCCCCTAAACGTCTACCCTTCACACGTACCTTTTCCGAACCTGCGCCCCACAAACGTCTCCCCCTTAAACGTCTCCCCTTCACACGCACCATCTCCCAACTTGCGCCCCACAAACGTCTCCGCCCTAAACGTCTCCCCTTCACACGCACCTTCTCCCAACCTGCGCCCCACAAACGTCTCCCCCCTAAACGTCTCCCCTTCACACGCACCTTTTCCCAACCTGCGCCCCACAAACGTCTCCCCCTTAAACGTCTCCCCTTCACACGCACATTCTCCCAACATGCGCCCACCAAACGTCTCCCCCCCTAAACGTCTCCACTTCACATGCACCTTCTCCCAACCTGCGCCCCACAAACGTCTCCCCCCTAAACGTCTCCCCTTCACACGCACCTTCTCCGAACCTGCGCCCCACAAATGTCTCCCCCCTAAACGTCTCCCCTTCACACGCACTTTCTCCCAACCTGCGCCCGACAAACGTCTCCCCCCTAAACGTCTCCCGTTCACACGCACCATCTCCCAACTTGCGCCCCACAAACGTCTCCGCCCTAAACGTCTCCCCTTCACACGCACCTTCTCCCAACCTGCGCCCCACAAACGTCTCCCCCCTAAACGTCTCCCCTTCACACACACCTTTTCCCAACCTGCGCCCCACAAACGTCTCCCCCTTAAACGTCTCCCCTTCACACGCACATTCTCCCAACATGCGCCCACCAAACGTCTCCCCCCTAAACGTCTCCCCTTCACACGTACCTTCTCCCAACCTGCGCCCCACAAACGTCTCCCCTTCACACGCACCTACTCCCAACTTGCGCCCCACAAACGTCTCCCCTTCACGCGCACCTTCCCCCAACCTGCGCCCCACAAACGTCTCCCCCCTAAATGTCTCACCTTCACACGCACCTTCTCCGAACCTGCGCCCCACAAACGTCTCCCCCCTGAATGTCTCACCTTCACACGCACCTTCTCCGAACCTGCGCCCCACAAACATCTCCCCCCTGAACGTCTCCCTTTCACACGCACCTTCTCCCAACCTGCGCCCCACAAACGTCTCCCCCCCTGAAAGTCTTCCCTTCACATACACCTTCTCCCAACCTGCGCCCCACAAACGTCCCCCCCCTAAACGTCTCCCGTTCACACGTACCTTCTCCAAAGCTGCGCCCCACAAATGTCTCCCCCTAAACGTCTCCCCTTCACACGTACCATCTCCGAACCTGCGCCCCACAAACGTCTCCCCCTACACATCTCCCCTTCACACGCACCTACTCCCAACTTGCGCCCCACAAACGTCTCCCCTTCACACGCACCTTCCCCCAACCTGCGCCCCACAAACGTCTCCCCCCTAAATGTCTCACCTTCACACGCACCTACTCCCAACTTGCGCTCCACAAACGTCTCCCCTTCCCACGCACCTTCCCCCAACCTGCGCCCCACAAACGTCTCCCCCCTAAACGTCTCCCCTTCACACGCACCTTCTCCCAACCTGCGCCCCACAAACGTCTCCCCCCTGAACGTCTCCCCTTCACACGCACCTACTCCCAACTTGCGCCCCACAAACGTCTCCCCTTCACACGCACCTTCCCCCAACCTGCGCCCCACAATCGTCTCCCCCGTAAATGTCTCACCTTCACACGCACCTTCTCCGAACCTGCGCCCCACAAACGTCTCCCCCCTGAATGTCTCACCTTCACACGCACCTTCTCCGAACCTGCGCCCCACAAACATCTCCCCCCTGAACGTCTCCCTTTCACACGCACCTTCTCCCAACCTGCGCCCCACAAACGTCTCCCCCCTAAACGTCTCCCGTTCACACGTACCTTCTCCGAAGCTGCGCCCCACAAATGTCTCCCCCTAAACGTCTCCCCTTCACACGTACCTTCTCCGAACCTGCGCCCCACAAACGTCTCCCCCTAAACATCTCCCCTTCACACGCACCTTCTCCGAACCTGCGCGCCACAAACGTCTCCCCCCTAAACGACTCCCCTTCACGCGCACCTTCTCTGAACCTACGCGCCACAAACGTCTCCCCCCTAAACGTCTCCCCTTCACACGCACCTTCTCCCAACCTGCGCCCCATGCACCTTCTCCGAACCTGCGCCCCATAAACGTCTCCCCCCTGAAAGTCTCCCCTTCACACACACGTTCTCCCAACTTGTGCCCCCCAAATGTCTCCCCTTCACACGCACCTTCTCTGAACCTGCGCGCCACAAACGTCTCCCCCCTAAACGACTCCCCTTCACACGCACCTTCTCCGAACCTGCGCGCCACAAACGTCTCCCCCTTAAACGTCTCCCCTTCACACGCACCTTCCCCAACCTGCACCCCATGCACCGTCTCCGAACATGCGCGCCAGAAACGTCTCCCCCCTAAACGTCTCCCCTGCACACGCGCATTCTCCAAACCTGCGCCCCACAAACGTCTTCCCCCTAAACGTCTCCCTTTCAAACGCACCTTCTTCCAACCTGCGCCCCACAAATGTCTCCCTCCTGATCGTCACCCCTTCACACGCACCTTCTCCCAACTTGCGCCCCACAAACGTCTCCCCTCCATACTCATCTCTCCCAACCTGCGCCCCAAAAACGTCTCCCCCCTAAACGTCTCCCCTTCACACTCACCTTCTCCGAACCTGCGACCCAGAAACGTCTCCCTCCTAATCGTCTCCCATTCACACACACCTTCTCCGAACCTGCGCCCCACAAACGTCTCCCCCCTAAACGTCTCCCCTTCATACGAACCTTCTCCCAACCTGCGCCCCACAAACGTCTCCCCCCTAAACGTCTCCCCTTCACACGCACCTTCTCCCAACTTGCGGCCCACAAATGTCTCCCCTTCACACACACCTTCTCCCAACCTGCGCCCCACAGACGTCTCCCCCCTAAACGTCTCCCCTTCACACGCATCTTCTCCGAACCTGCGCCCCACAAACGTCTCCCCCCTAAACGTCTCCCCTTCACACGCACCTTCTACGAACCTGCGCCCCACAAACGCCTCCCCCCTAAACGTCACCCTTTTACACGCACCGTCTCCCAACCTCCACCCCACAAACGTCTCCCCCCTGAACGTCTCCCCTTCACACGCACCTTCTCCCAACTTGTGCCCCACAAAAGTCTCCCCTCCATACGCATCTCTCCCAACCTGCGCCCCAAAAACGTCTCCCCCCTAAACGTCTCCCCTTCACACGCACCTTCTCCGAACCTGCGACCCACAAACGTCTCCCTCCTAATCGTCTCCCTTTCACACGCACCTTCTCCGAACCTGCGCCCCATAAACGTCTCCCCTCTAAACGTCTCCCATTCACACGCACCTTCTCCGAACCTGCGCCCCACAAACGTCTCCCCCCTAAACGTCTCCCCTTCACACGCACCTTCTCCCAACTTGCGGCCCACAAATGTCTCCCCTTCACACGCACCTTCTCCCAACCTGCGCCCCACAGACGTCTCCCCCCTAAACGTCTCCCCTTCACACGCACCTTCTCCGAACCTGCGCCCCACAAACGTCTCCCCCCTAAACGTCTCCCCTTCACACGCACCTTCTACGAACCTGCGCCCCACAAACGCCTCCCCCCTAAACGTCTCCCTTTTACACGCACCGTCTCCCAACCTCTGCCCCACAAACGCCTCCCCCCTGAACGTCTCCCCTTCACACACACCTTCTCCGAACCTGCGCCCCACAAACGTCTCCCCCCTAAACGTCTCCCCTTCACACGAACCTTCTCCCAACCTGCGCCCCACAAACGTCCACCCCCTAAACATCTCCCCTTCACACGCACCTTCTCCCAACATGCGCCCCCCAAACGTCTCCCCCCTTAACGTCTCCCCTTCATACGCACCTTCTCCAAACCTGCGCCCCACAAACGTCTCCCTCTTAAACGTCTCCCCTTCATACGCACCTTCTCCGAACCTGCGCCCCACAAACGTCTCCCTCTTAAACGTCTCCCCTTCACACGCACCTTCTCCGAACCTGTGCGCCACAAACGTCTCCCCCCTAAACGTCTCCCCTTCACACGCACATTCTCCGAACCTGCGCCCCACAAACGTCTCCCCCCTGAACGTCTCCCTTTCACATGCACCTTCTCCCAACCTGCGCCCCACAAACATCTCCCCCCTGAACGTCACCCCTTCACACTCACCTTCTCCCAATTTGCGCCCCACAAACGTCTCCCCTCCATACGAGTCTCTCCCAACCTGCGCCCCAAATACGTCTCCCCCCTAAACGACTCCCCTTCACACGCACCTTCTCTGAACCTGCGACCCACAAACATCTCCCTCCTAATCGTCTCCCTTTCACACGCACCTTCTCCGAACCTGCGCCCCACAAACGTTTCCCCCCTAAACGACTCCTTTTCACACGCATCTTCTCCGAACCTGCGCGCCACAAACGTCTCCCCCTTAAACGTCTCCCCTTCACACGCACCTTCCCCAACCTGCGCCCCATGCACCTTCTCCGAACCTGCGCGCCAGAAACGTCTCCCCCCTAAACGTTCTCCCCTTCATACGAACCTTCTCCCAACCTGCGCCCCACAAACGTCTCCCCCCTAAACGTCTCCCCTTCACACGCACCTTCTCCCAACTTGCGGCCCACAAATGTCTCCCCTTCACACGCACCTTCTCCCAACCTGCGCCCCACAGACGTCTCCCCCCTAAACGTCTCCCCTTCACACGCACCTTCTCCGAACCTGCGCCCCACAAACGTCTCCCCCCTAAACGTCTCCCCTTCACACGCACCTTCTACGAACCTGCGCCCCACAAACGCCTCCCCCCTAAAAGTCTCCCTTTTACACGCACCGTCTCCCAACCTCCGCCCCACAAACGTCTCCCCCCTAAACGTCTCCCCTTCACACGCACCTTCTCCCAACCTGCGCCCCACAAACGTCTCCCCCCTAAACGTCTCCCCTTCACACGCACCTTCTCCCAACCTGCGCCCCACAAACGTCTCCCCCCTAAACGTCTGCCCTTCACATGTACCTTCTCCCAACCTACGCCCCACAAACGTCTCCCCCCTAAACGTCTCCCCTTCACACGCACCTTCTCCCAACTTGCGCCCCACAAAAGTCTTCCCTTCACACGCACCTTCCCCCAACCTGCGCCCCACAAACGTCTCCCCCCTAAGTGTCTCACCTTCACACTCACCTTCTCCGAACCTGCGCCCCACAAACGTCTCCCCCCTAAACGTCTCCCCTTCACACGCATATTATCCGAACCTGCGCCCCACAAACGTCTCCCCCCTGAACCCTTCCCCTTCAAACGCACCTTCTCCCAACCTGCGCCCCACAAACGTCTCCCCCCTAAACATCTCCCCTTCACACGCACCTTCTCCTAACCTGCGCCCCACAAATGTCTCCCCCCCAAACGTCTCCCCTTCACACGCACCTTCTCCCAACCTGCGCCCCACAAACGTCTCCCCCCTAAACATCTCCCCTTCACACACACCTTCTCCCAACCTGCGCCCCACAAACGTCTCCCCCCCAAACGTCTCCCCTTCACACGCACCTTCTCCCAACCTGCGCCACACAAACGTCTCCCCCCCAAACGTCTCCCCTTCACACGCACCTTCTCCCAACATGCGTCCCCCAAACGTCTCCCCCCTGAACGTCTCCCCTTCACATGCACCTTCTCCCAACATGCGCCCCACAAACGTCTCCCCCCTAAACGTCTCCCCTTCACACGCACCTTCTCCCAACCTGCGCCCCACAAACGTCCCCCCTAAACATCTCCCCTTCACACGCACCTTCTCCCAACTTGCGCCCCACAAATGTCTCCCCTTCACACGCACCTTCTCCCAACCTGCGCCCCACAAACGTCTCCCCCCTAAACGTCTCCCCTTCACATGCAACTTCTCCAAACCTGAGCCCCACAAACGTCTCCTCCCTAAACGTCTCCCCTTCACATGCACCTTCTCTGATCCTGCGCCCCACAAACGTCTCCCCCCTAAACGTCTCCCCTTCACTCGCACCTTCTCCGAACCTGGACCCCACAAACGTCTCCCCCCTAAACGTCTCCCCTTCACTCGCACTTTCTCTGAACCTGCCCCCGACAAAAGTCTCCCCCCTAAACGTCTCCCCTTCACACGCACCTTCTCCCAACCTGCGCCCCACAAACGTCTCCCCCCTAAACGTCTCCCCTTCACACGCACCTTCTCCTAACCTGCGCCCCACAAACGTCTCCCCCCTAAACGTCTCCCCTTCACACGCACCTTCTCCCAACCTGCGCCCCACAAACGTCTCCCCCCTAAACGTCTCCCCTTCACACGCACCTTCTCCCAACATGCGATCCCCAAACGTCTCCCACCCTAACGTCTCCCCTTCATACCCACCTTCTCCCAACCTGCGCCCACCAAACGTTTCCCCACTAAACGTCTCCACTTCACATGCACCTTCTCCCAACCTGCGCCCCACAAACGTCTCCCCCCTAAACGTCTCCCCTTCACACGCACCTTTTCCCAACCTGCGCCCCACAAATATCTCCCCCCTAAACGTCTCCCCTTCACACGCACCTTCTCCCAACTTGCGCCACACAAACGTCTCCCCTTCACACGCACCTTCTCCGAACCTGCGCCCCACAAACGTCTCCCCCCCTAAACGTCTCCCCTTCATACGCACCTTCTCTCAACCTGCGTCCCACAAGCGTCTCCCCCCTAAACGCCTCCCCTTCACACGCACCTTCTCCCAACCTGCGGCCCACAAACGTCTCCCCCCTAAACGTCTCCCCATCACACGCCCCTTCTCCCAATGTGCGCCCCACAAACGTCTCCCTCATAAACGTCTCCCCTTCATACGCCCCTTCTCCCAACATGCGCCCCACAAACGTCTCCCTCATTAACGTCTCCCCTTCACACGCACCATATCCCAATCCTGCGCCCCGCAAACGTCTCCCCCCTAAACGTCTCCCCTTCACACGCACCTTCTCCGAACCTGCGCCCCACAAACGTCTCCCCCCCTAAACGTCTCCCCTTCACACGCACCTTCTCCGAACCTCCGCCCCACAAACGTCTCCCCCCTAAACGTCTCCCCTTCACACGCACCTTCTCCGAACCTGCGCCCCACAAACGTCTCCCCCCTAAACGTCTCCCCTTCACTCGCACCTTCTCCGAACCTGCGCCCCACAAACGTCTCCCCCCTAAACGTCTCCCCTTCACACGCACTTTCTCCCAACCTGCGCTCGACAAACGTCTCCCCCCTAAACGTCTCCCCTTCACACGCACCTTCTCCCAACCTGCGGTCGACAAACGTCTCCCCCCTAAACGTCTCCCCTTCACACGCACCTTCTCCCAACCTGCGCCCCACAAACGTCTCCCCCCTAAACGTCTCCCCTTCATACGCACCTTCTCCCAACCTGCGGCCCACAAACGTCTACCCCGTAAACGTCTCCCCTTCACACGCACCTTCTCCCAACATGCGCCCCCCAATTGTCTCCCACCCTAACGTCTCCCCTTCATACCCACCTTCTCCCAACCTGCGCCCACCAAACGTTTCCCCCCTAAATGTCTCCACTTCACATGCACCTTCTCCCAACCTGCGCCCAACAAACGTCTCCCCCCTAAATGTCTCCCCTTCACACGCACCTTCTCCCAACCTGCGCCCCACAAATATCTCCCCCCTAAATGTCTCCCCTTCACACGCACCTTCTCCCAACTTGCGCCCCACAAACGTCTCCCCTTCACTCGCAACTTCTCCGAACCTGCGCCCCACAAACGTCTCCCCCCCTAAACGTCTCCCCTTCACACGCACCTTCTCCGAACCTCCGCCCCACAAACGTCTCCCATTCACTCGCACCTTCTCCGAACCTGCGCCCCACAAACGTCTCCCACCTAAACGTTTCCCCTTCACACGCACATTCTCCCAACCTGCGGCCCACAAACGTCTCCCACCTAAACGCCTCCCCTTCACACGCACATTCTCCCAACCTGCGGCCCACAAACGTCTCCCCCCTAAAGGTCTCCCCTTCACACGCCCCTTCTCCCAACGTGCGCCCCACAAACGTCTCCCTCATAAACGTCTCCCCTTCATATGCCCCTTCTCCCAACATGCGCCCCACAAACGTCTCTCTCATAAACGTCTCCCCTTTATACGCACCTTCTCCCAACCTGCGCCCCACAAACGTCTCCCCCCTAAACGTCTCCCCTTCACACGCAACTTCTCCGAACCTGCGCCCCACAAACGTCTCCCCCCCTAAACGTCTCCCCTTCACACGCATATTCTCTGAACCTTCGCCCCACAAACGTCTCCCCCCTGAACGTCTCCCTTTTACACGCACCTTCTCCCAACCTGCGCCCCACAAACGTCTCCCCTTCACATACACCTTCTCCCAACTTGCGCCCCCCTAAACGTCTCCCCTTCACACGCACCTTCTCTCAGCATGCGCCCCCCAAACGTCTCCCCCCTAAACGTCTCCCCTTCACACGCACCTTCTCCCAACATGCGCCCCACAAACGTCTCCCCCTTAAACGACTCCCCTTCACACGCACCTTCTCCGAACCTGCGCCCCACAAACGTCTCCCCCCTAAACGTCTCCCCTTCACACGCACCTTCTCCGAACCTGCGCCCCACAAACGTCTCCCCCCTAAACGTCTCCCCTTCACACGCACTTTCTCCCAACCTGCGCCCGACAAACGTCTCCCACCTAAACGTCTCCCCTTCACACGCACCTTCTCCCATCCTGCGCCCCACAAACGTCTCCCCCCTAAACGTCTCCCCTTCACACGCACCTTCTCCGAACCTGCGCCCCACAAACGTCTCCCCCCTAAACGTCTCCCCTTCACACGCACTTTCTCCCAACCTGCGTCCGACAAACGTCTCCCCCCTAAACGTCTCCCCTTCACACGCACCTTCTCCCAACCTGCGCCCCACAAACGTCTCCCCCCAAAACGTCTCCCCTTCACACAAACCTTCTCCCAACCTGCGCCCCACAAACGTCTCCCCCCTAAACGTCTCCCCTTCACACGCACCTTCTCCCAACATGTGTCCCCCAAACGTCTCCCCCCCAACGTCTCCCCTACATACGCACCTTCTCCGAACCTGCACCCACCAAACGTTTCCCCCCTAAACGTCTCCACTTCACATGCACCTTCTCCCAACCTGCGCCCCACAAACGTCTCCCCCCTAAACGTCTCGCCTTTACATGCACCCACTCCCAACTTGCGCCCCACAAACGTCTCCCCTTCACACGCACCTTCTCCGAACCTGCGCCCCACAAACGTCTCCCCCCTAAACGTCTCCCCTTCACACGCACATTCTCCGAAACTGCGCGCCACAAACGTCTCCCCCCTAAATGTCTCCCCTTCACACGGACCTTCTCCCAACCTGCGCCCCACAAACGTCTCCCCCCTAAACATCTCCTCTTCACATGTACCTTCTCCCAACCTACGCCCCACAAACGTCTTCCCCCTAAACGTCTCCCCTTCACACGCACCTTCTCCGAACCTGCGCCCCACAAACGTCCCCCCCCTAATGCTCCCCTTCACACGCACCTTCTCCTAACCTGCGCCCCACAAACGTCTCCCCCTTAAACGTCTCCCCTTCATACGCACCTTCTCCCAACATACGCCCCCCAAACGTCTCCCCCCCAAACGTCTCCCCTTCATACGCACCTTCTCCCAACCTGCGCCCACCGAACGTCTCCCCCCTAAACGTCTCCACTTCACATGCACCTTTTCCCAACCTGCGCCCCACAAACGTCTCCCCCCTAAACGTCTCCCCTTTACATGCACCCTCTCCCAACTTGCGCCCCACAAACGTCTCCCCTTCACACGCACCTTCTCCGAACCTGCGCCCCACAAACGTCTCCCCCCTAAACGTCTCCCCTTCACACGCACATTCTCCGAAACTGCGCGCCACAAACGTCTCCCCCCTAAATGTCTCCCCTTCACACGCACCTTCTCCCAACCTGCGCCCCACAAACGTCTCCCCCCTAAACATCTCCTCTTCACATGTACCTTCTCCCAACCTACGCCCCACAAACGTCTCCCCCCTAAACGTCTCCCCTTCACACGCACCTTCTCCGAACCTGCGCCCCACAAGCGTCTCCCCCCTAAACGTCTCCCCTTCACACGCACCTTCTCCGAACCTGCGCCCCACAAACGTCTCCCCCCTAAACGTCTCCCCTTCACACGCACTTTCTCCCAACCTCCGAGCGACAAACGTCTCCCCCCTAAACGTCTCCCCTTCAGACGCACCTTCACCCAACCTGCGCCCCACAAACGTATCCCCCCCTAAACGTCTCCCCTTCACACGCACCTTCTCCCAACATGTGCTCCCCAAACGTCTCCCCCCCAAACGTCTCCCCTTCATACGCACCTTCTCCCAACCTGCGCCCACCAAACGTCTCCCCCCTAAACGTCTCCACTTCACATGCACCTTCTCCCAACCTGCACCCCACAAACGTCTCCCCCCCAAACGTCTTCCCTTCACACGCATCTTCCCCCAACCTGCGCCCCACAAACGTCTCCCCCCTAAGTGTCTCACCTTCACACGCACCTTCTCCGAACCTGCGCCCCACAAACGTCTCCCCCCTGAACGTCTCCCCTTCACACGCACCTTCCCCGAACCTGCGCCGCACAAACGTCTCCCCCCTAAACGTCTCCCCTTCACACGCAACTTCTCCGAACCTGCGCCCCACAAACGTCTCCCCCTTAAACGTCTCCCCTTCACACGCACCTTCTCCCAACCTGCGCCCGACAAATGTCTCCCCCGTAAACGTCTCTCCTTCACACGCACCTTCTCCCATAAGGCGCCCCACAAAGGTCTTTCCCCTAAACGTCTCCCCTTCACACGCACCTTCTCCCAACTTGTGCCCCACAAACGTCTCCCCTTCACACGCACCTTCTCCGAACCTGCGCCCCACAAACGTCTCCCCCTAAACGTCTCCCCTTCACACGTACCTTCTCCAAACCTGCGCCCCACAAACGTTTCCCCCCTAAACGTCTCCCCTTCACACGCACCTTCTCCGAAACTGCGCGCCACAAAAGTCTCCCCCCTAAACGTCTCCCCTTCACACGCACCCTCTTCCAACCTGCGCCCCACAAACGTCTCCCCCCCTAAACGTCTCCCCTTCACACGCACCTTCTCACAACCTGCGGCCCACAAACGTCTACCCCGTAAACGTCTCCCCTTCACACGCACCTTCTCCGAACGTGCGCCCCACAAACGTCTCCCCCCTAAACGTCTCCCCTTCACACGCACCTTCTCCGAACCTGCGCCCCACAAACGTCTCCCCCCTAAACGTCTCTCCTTCACACGCACTTTCTCCCAACCTGCGCCTGACAAACGTCTCCCCCCTAAACGTCTCCCCTTCACACACACCTTCTCCCAACCTGCGCCCCACAAACGTTTCCCCCCTAAACGTCTCTTCTTCACATGCACCTTCTCCTAACCTGCGCCCCACAAACGTCTCCACCCTAAACGTCTCCCCTTCATACAAACCTTCTCCCAACCTGCGCCCCACAAACGTCTCCCCCCTAAACGTCTCCCCTTCACACGCACCTTCTCCCAACATTCGCCCCCCAAACGTCTCCCCCCTAACGTCTCCCCTTCATACGCACCTTCTCCCAACCTGCGCCCACCAAACGTTTCCCCCCTAAACGTCTCCACTTCACATGCACCTTCTCCCAACCTGCGCCCCACAAACGTCTCAATTTATGGGCTAAAGCAAGCTCCAAGGCAGTGGTACCTCAAGTTTGATGAGGCGCTGATGGACTTTGGGTTTGAGAGGTCGGAGTGTGACCCCGCCTTGTACCACTTGGTGAGGCGTGAGGGCAGGCTGTCCCTCTCCCTCTATGTGGATGACATTCTGCTCATGTCTTCGAGCATGGTCTTGCTGGACGAGGTGAAGGGTCTCTTGTCCTATCGTTTCCGCATGAAGGACTTGGGGGAGGCTATGTACTATTTGGGGGTGCAGATTGAGCGTGATGAGAGTGGCCTCTTGATTCATCAGGAGAGGTACATTCTCAACATGCTTGAGTCCTTTGGCCTTTCTGAGGCTAACCCCGTGCGTACCCCTCTCCCTTCAGGGTTCGACGTGCATGCACATGCTGAGGAGCCCTTGCTGCGAGATGAGCTGGTCCAGCTCTATCAAAGCATTGTGGGGTCTCTCATGTATGCAAGCACGACCACACAGCCCCAGATTGCTTATGCAGTGTCACAGCTGTCCAAGGTGGTGTCTTGTCCCAAGGCATTTCACTTGCAGGCTGCTAAGAGAGTGCTAAGGTACCTGAAAGGTTGTGTCAAGTCAGGTATCTTCTACTTCGCACACAGCAAGCCTCAGGTTGAGTTGGTGGGCTTTAGTGATGCTGATTATGCTGGAGATTCAGCTGATCGCAAGAGTCACACCGGCTATGTCTATTGCCTTAATGGTGCAGCCATCTCTTGGCAGAGCAAGAGGCAGCCGGTGGTTGCATTGTCCACCACTGAGAGTGAGTACATCAGTCTGTGTCAGTGGATTCAGGAGGGTGTGTAGCTGAAGCGTTTATTTGGGGAGTTTGGGCATGAATTTGCTGGTGGTGTGCCTATGTTTGTGGACAACCAGTCTGCCATTGCCCTTGCACAGAATGCATGCTTGCATGGCCGCACCAAGCACATGCAGGTTCGGTGGCATTTCATCAGGGAGATGGTGGCGTGCGGCGAGGTGATCCTCCGGTGGTGCCCCACCAACCGTCAAGCAGCAGATATACTCACCAAACCCCTCCCCTTTGAGCGGCATGGTGTGTGCATGTCCTTGATGGGGATGCAGCCCCATGTCAGCATGGTGCCTGAGCAGGATGTGGGAGGACTGGTGCTTCTCTGCCTTGACGACCTCATGCTGTGGATGGCGCCCCTCCCTGGGCAAGGGGGAGTGAAGTGGAGGATTTTGCCCAGTGGTGTTCAGCCACCTCCAGCACGAGCAAGGGGGAGTGTTAATTGTGTAGGTGGTTGTGGTATTTTGCTCTAGCTGGTTGTGGGCTAAGGGTTTGGGCAAAATGTGGTGGTTAGACTTGTTGCGGGCTAGAATTGATCTCGCACCCAACAAGCACCAACAAACCTTTGCTATTCACTACAACACCATTGGTGTTGCTAGTTTAACACTTTGGGTTGTTGGGGATTGTTGTAGGGCGAGGGTTGGGTTGGTAGGGTTTGAACAACTCGTGACTTTTCAGATCTGAACTTTTTCTAAAGCTACTTTCTTGATCTAATCCATGGCTGCCAAGAAATTTCGTCAGGATACCCCGTCGCACTTTAATCGCGATAGCGATCGGCCAAGATCTTGGTTGAAGGCGTGCGTTACCATTCTGGACAGTCGAGATTAAGCCCTTTCCAACGCGTACCTGCTCATAGTTTAAGGTTACGTGAGCTGCACGCAATGTTCCGTCGAAGTCGACGGACTTAATCTCTTGTACGCTCTCCAGATTCGCTCGCTTTCCATCATTGCCATCACCCCGCCCCATTCTCCCTCTTTCCATCACCCCGCCCCATTCTCCCTCTTTCCATCACCCCGCCCCATTCTCCCGCTTTCCATCACCCCGCCCCATTTTCCCGCTTTCCATCACCCCGCCCCATTCTCTTGCTTTCCATCACCCCGCCCCATTCTCCCGCTTTCCATCACCCGGTCCAATTCTCCTTCTTTCCATCACCCCGCCCTATTCTCCCTCTTTCCATCACCCAGCCCATTTCTCACTATTTCCATCACCCCGCCCCGTTCTCCCGCTTTCCATCACCCCGCCGCGATCTCCCGCTTTCCATCACCCCGCCCCATTCTCCCTCTTTACATCACCTCGCCCCATTCTCCCTCTTTCCATCACCCAGCCCCATTCTCCCGCTTTCCATCACGCCGCCCCATTCTCCCTCTTTCCATCACCCCGCCCCATTCTCCCGCTTTCCATCACCCCGCCCCATTCTCCCTCTTTCCATCACCCCGCCCCATTCTCCCGCTTTCCATCACCCCGCCCCATTCTCCCTCTTTCCATCACCCCGCCCCATTCTCCCGCTTTCCATCACCCCGCCCCATTCTCCCTCTTTCCATCACCCCGCCCCATTCTCCCGCTTTCCATCATCCTGCCCCATTCTCCCGCTTTCCATCACCCCGCCTCATTGTCCCTCTTTCCATCGCCCCGCCCCATTCTCCCGCTTTCCATCACCCCGCCCCATTCTCCCTCTTTCCATCACCCCGCCCCGTTCTCCTGCTTTCCATCACCCCCCCCCATTCTCTCGTTTTCCATCACCCCGCCCCATTCTCTCGCTTTCCATCACCCCGCCCCATTCTCCCACTTTCCATCACCCAGCCCCATTCGCCATTCGGGCGCAAGCGAATCGGGCGCAAGCGAGTCGGGCGCAAGCGAATCGGATGCAAGCGAATCGGGCGCATGGGAATCAGGCGCAAGGGAATCGGGCGCAAGGGAATCGGGCGATCGGGCGCAAGCGAATCGGGCGCAAGCGAGTCGGGCCCAAGCGGGTCGGGCGCAAGTGAATCGGGCGCAAGGGAGTCGGGCGCAACGGAGTCGGGCGCAAGCGAATCGGGCGCAAGCGAATCGGGCGCAAGGGAATCGGGCGCAAGCGAATCGGGCGCAAGAGAATCGGGCGCAAGGGAGTCGGGCGCAAGGGAGTCGGGCGCAAGGGAATCGGGCGCAAGCGAGTCGGGCGCAAGGGAATCGGGCGCAAGCGAATCAGGCGCAAGCGAATCGGGTGCAAGGGAGTCGGGCGCAAGGGAATCGGGCGCAAGCGAATCGGGCGCAAGGGAATCGGGCGGAAGGGATTCGCGCGCAAGGGAATCGGGCGCAAGGGAATCGGGCGCAAGCGAGTCGGGCGCAAGCGAGTCGGGCGCAAGCGAGTCGGGCCCAAGCGGGTCGGGCGCAAGTGAATCGGGCGCAAGGGAGTCGGGCGCAACGGAGTCGGGCGCAAGCAAATCGGGCGCAAGCGAATCGGGCGCAAGCGAATCGGGCGCAAGGGAATCGGGCGCAAGCGAATCGGGCGCAAGAGAATCGGGCGCAAGGGAGTCGGGCGCAAGGGAGTCGGGCGCAAGGGAATCGGGCGCAAGCGAGTCGGGCGCAAGGGAATTGGGCGCAAGCGAATCGGGCGCAAGCGAATCGGGTGCAAGGGAGTCGGGCGCAAGGGAATCGGGCTCAAGCGAATCGGGCGCAAGGGAATCGGGCGGAAGGGATTCGGGCGCAAGGGAATCGGGCGCAAGGGAATCGGGCGCAAGCGAGTCGGGCGCAAGCGAGTCGGGCGCAAGCGAGTCGGACGCAAGCGAATTGGGCGTAAGCGAATCGGGCGCAAGCGAATCGGGCGCAAGCGAGTCGGAGGCAAGGGAATCGGGCGCAAGGGAATCGGGCGCAAGGAAATCGGGCGCAAGGGAATCGGGCGCAAGCGAATCAAACGCAAGCGAATCGGGCGCAAGCGAATCGGGCGCAAGCGAATCGGGCGCAAGGGAGTCGGGCAAGCGGGAGAATGGGGCGTAGAGAATGGTAACGAACGCATGGATCTCTATATTTGTAGGGAAAAGCATCAAATGACTTGAATGTTGTTGCAAATTCGGGTGGCCCTCGCTCAAATACATCTACCAGAGCAAGTTCAGCTTTGTTTGTGCGCACCAAAAAGCTTGGCGCCTGCGATGACGGCTGTGTCTGTTGACAAATGGTAACAAAGCGCATGGATCCCTATAGGCCTAGGGAAAAGCATCGAATTACCTGGATGTTGTTGCATACTCGGGTGGCCCATGCCCAAATACACCTACCTAAGCAAGTTTAGCTTTGTTTGTGCGCACGAAAAAAGTTCGGCGCCTGTGATGATGGCTGTGTCTGCCGACAAATGGTAACGAAGTGCATGGATCCCTATAGGCGTAGGGAAAAGCATCGAATGACTTGAATGTTGTTGCAAATTTGTGTGGCCCTCGCTCAAATACATCTACCAGAGCAAGTTCAGCTCTGTTTGTGCGCACCAAAAAGTTCGGCGCCTGCGATGACGTCTGTGTCTGCCGACAAATGGTAACAAAGTGCATGGATCCCTATAGGCGTAGGGAAATGCATCAATTGACCTGAATGTTGTTGCATATTCGGGTGGCCCATGCTCAAATACACCTACCAGAGCAAGTTCAGCTTTGTTTGTGCGCACCAAAATGTTCGGCGCCTGCGATGACGGCTATGTCTGCCGAGAAATGGTAACGAAGCGGATGGATCCCTATAGGCGTGGGGGGAAGCATCGAATGACCTGAATGTTGTTGCATATTTGGGTGGCCCTCGCTCAAATACACCTACCAGTCGCTCTGCCTCACGTGACTTGTGAGTCGACTCAAAACGCACCTCCATCTCTGTGTCGTATTGAGCCCCACGAACCTCTCTATCTCAGTGCCCTTGTCGCTGCCTCACGTGACTTGTGAGTCGACTCAAAACGCACCTCCATCTCTGTGTCGTATTGAGCCCCACGCACCTCTCTATCTCAGTGCCCTTGTCGCTGCCTCACGTGACTTGTGAGTCGACTCAAAACGCATCTCCATCTCTGTGTCGTATTGAGCCCCACGCACCTCTCTATCTCAGTGCCCTTGTCGCTGCCTCACGTGACTTGTGAGTCGACTCAAAACGCACCTCCATCTCTGTGTCGTATTGAGCCCCACGCACCTCTCCATCTCAGTGCCCTTGTCGCTGCCTCACGTGACTTGTGAGTCGACTCAAAACGCACCTCCATCTCTGTGTCGTATTGAGCCCCACGCACCTCTCCATCTCAGTGCCCTTGTCGCTGCCTCACGTGACTTGTGAGTCGACTCAAAACGCACCTCCATCTCTGTGTCGTATTGAGCCCCACGCACCTCTCGATCTCAGTGCCCTTGTCGCTCTGCCTCACGTGACTTGTGAGTCGACTCAAAACGCACTCCATCTCTGTGTCGTATTGAGCCCCACGCACCTCTCGATCTCAGTGCCCTTGTCGCTCTGCCTCACGTGACTTGTGAGTCGACTCAAAGCGCACCTCCACCTCTGTGTCGTATTGAGCCCCACGCACCTCTCCCTCTCAGTGCCCTTGTCGCTCTGCCTCACGTGACTTGTGAGTCGACTCAAAGCGCACCTCCACCTCTGTGTCGTATTGAGCCCCACGCACCTCTCCGTCTCAGTGCCCTTGTCGCTCTGCCTCACGTGACTTGTGAGTCGACTCAAAGCGCACCTCCACCTCTGTGTCGTATTGAGCCCCACGCACCTCTCCGTCTCAGTGCCCTTGTCGCTCTGCCTCACGTGACCTGTGAGTCGACTCAAAGCGCACCTCCATCTCTGTGTCGTATTGAGCCCCACGCACCTCTCCGTCTCACTGCCCTTGTCGCTCTGCCTCACGTGACCTGTGAGTCGACTCAAAGCGCACCTCCATCTCTTTGTCGTATTGAGCCCCACGCATCTCTCCGTCTCAGTGCCCTTGTCGCTCTGCCTCACGTGACGTGTGAGTCGACTCAAAGCGCGCCTCCATCTCTTTGTCGTATTGAGCCCCACGCACCTCTCCGTCTCAGTGCCATTGTCGCTCTGCCTCACGTGACTTGTGAGTCGACTCAAAGCGCGCCTCCATCTCTGTGCCGTATTGAGCCCCACGCACCTCTCCGTCTCAGTGCCCTTGTCGCTCTGCCTCACGTGACTTATGAGTCGACTGCCTCACGTGACTTGTGAGTCGACTCAAAGCGCGCCTCCATCTCTGTGCCGTATTGAGCCCCACGCTCCTCTCCGTCTCAGTGCCCTTGTCGCTCTGCCTCACGTGACTTGTGAGTCGACTCAAAGCGCCCCTCCATCTCTGTGCCGTATTGAGCCCCACGCTCCTCTCCGTCTCAGTGCCCTTGTCGCTCTGCCTCACGTGACTTGTGAGTCGACTCAAAGCGCCCCTCCATCTCTGTGCCGTATTGAGCCCCACGCTCCTCTCCGTCTCAGTGCCCTCGTCGCTCTGCCTCACGTGACTTGTGAGTCGACTCAAAGCGCCCCTCCATCTCTGTGCCGTATTGAGCCCCACGCTCCTCTCCGTCTCAGTGCCCTCGTCGCTCTGCCTCACGTGACTTGTGAGTCGACTCAAAGCGCCCCTCCATCTCTGTGCCGTATTGAGCCCCACGCTCCTCTCCGTCTCAGTGCCCTCGTCGCTCTGCCTCACGTGACTTGTGAGTCGACTCAAAGCGCCCCTCCATCTCTGTGCCGTATTGAGCCCCACGCTCCTCTCCGTCTCAGTGCCCTCGTCGCTCTGCCTCACGTGACTTGTGAGTCGACTCAAAGCGCCCCTCCATCTCTGTGCCGTATTGAGCCCCACGCTCCTCTCCGTCTCAGTGCCCTCGTCGCTCTGCCTCACGTGACTTGTGAGTCGACTCAAAGCGCCCCTCCATCTCTGTGCCGTATTGAGCCCCACGCTCCTCTCCGTCTCAGTGCCCTCGTCGCTCTGCCTCACGTGACTTGTGAGTCGACTCAAAGCGCCCCTCCATCTCTGTGCCGTATTGAGCCCCACGCTCCTCTCCGTCTCAGTGCCCTCGTCGCTCTGCCTCACGTGACTTGTGAGTCGACTCAAAGCGCCCCTCCATCTCTGTGCCGTATTGAGCCCCACGCTCCTCTCCGTCTCAGTGCCCTCGTCGCTCTGCCTCACGTGACTTGTGAGTCGACTCAAAGCGCCCCTCCATCTCTGTGCCGTATTGAGCCCCACGCTCCTCTCCGTCTCAGTGCCCTCGTCGCTCTGCCTCACGTGACTTGTGAGTCGACTCAAAGCGCCCCTCCATCTCTGTGCCGTATTGAGCCCCACGCTCCTCTCCGTCTCAGTGCCCTCGTCGCTCTGCCTCACGTGACTTGTGAGTCGACTCAAAGCGCCCCTCCATCTCTGTGCCGTATTGAGCCCCACGCTCCTCTCCGTCTCAGTGCCCTCGTCGCTCTGCCTCACGTGACTTGTGAGTCGACTCAAAGCGCCCCTCCATCTCTGTGCCGTATTGAGCCCCACGCTCCTCTCCGTCTCAGTGCCCTCGTCGCTCTGCCTCACGTGACTTGTGAGTCGACTCAAAGCGCCCCTCCATCTCTGTGCCGTATTGAGCCCCACGCTCCTCTCCGTCTCAGTGCCCTCGTCGCTCTGCCTCACGTGACTTGTGAGTCGACTCAAAGCGCCCCTCCATCTCTGTGCCGTATTGAGCCCCACGCTCCTCTCCGTCTCAGTGCCCTCGTCGCTCTGCCTCACGTGACTTGTGAGTCGACTCAAAGCGCCCCTCCATCTCTGTGCCGTATTGAGCCCCACGCTCCTCTCCGTCTCAGTGCCCTCGTCGCTCTGCCTCACGTGACTTGTGAGTCGACTCAAAGCGCCCCTCCATCTCTGTGCCGTATTGAGCCCCACGCTCCTCTCCGTCTCAGTGCCCTCGTCGCTCTGCCTCACGTGACTTGTGAGTCGACTCAAAGCGCCCCTCCATCTCTGTGCCGTATTGAGCCCCACGCTCCTCTCCGTCTCAGTGCCCTCGTCGCTCTGCCTCACGTGACTTGTGAGTCGACTCAAAGCGCCCCTCCATCTCTGTGCCCTATTGAGCCCCACGCTCCTCTCCGTCTCAGTGCCCTCGTCGCTCTGCCTCACGTGACTTGTGAGTCGACTCAAAGCGCCCCTCCATCTCTGTGCCCTATTGAGCCCCACGCTCCTCTCCGTCTCAGTGCCCTCGTCGCTCTGCCTCACGTGACTTGTGAGTCGACTCAAAGCGCCCCTCCATCTCTGTGCCCTATTGAGCCCCACGCTCCTCTCCGTCTCAGTGCCCTCGTCGCTCTGCCTCACGTGACTTGTGAGTCGACTCAAAGCGCCCCTCCATCTCTGTGCCCTATTGAGCCCCACGCTCCTCTCCGTCTCAGTGCCCTCGTCGCTCTGCCTCACGTGACTTGTGAGTCGACTCAAAGCGCCCCTCCATCTCTGTGCCCTATTGAGCCCCACGCTCCTCTCCGTCTCAGTGCCCTCGTCGCTCTGCCTCACGTGACTTGTGAGTCGACTCAAAGCGCCCCTCCATCTCTGTGCCCTATTGAGCCCCACGCTCCTCTCCGTCTCAGTGCCCTCGTCGCTCTGCCTCACGTGACCTGTCAGTCGACTCAAAGCGCCCCTCCATCTCTGTGCCGTATTGAGCCCCACGCACCTCTCCGTCCCAGTGCCCTCGTCGCTCTGCCTCACGTGACCTGTCAGTCGACTCAAAGCGCGCCTCCATCTCGGTGCCGTATTGAGCCCCACGCACCCCTCCGTCCCAGTGCCCTCGTCGCTCTGCCTCACGTGACCTGTCAGTCGACTCAAAGCGCCCCTCCATCTCGGTGCCGTATTGAGCCCCACGCACCCCTCCGTCCCAGTGCCCTCGTCGCTCTGCCTCACGTGACCTGTCAGTCGACTCAAAGCGCGCCTCCATCTCGGTGCCGTATTGAGCCCCACGCACCCCTCCGTCCCAGTGCCCTCGTCGCTCTGCCTCACGTGATCTGTCAGTCGACTCAAAGCGCGCCTCCATCTCGGTGCCGTATTGAGCCCCACGCACCCCTCCGTCCCAGTGCCCTCGTCGCTCTGCCTCACGTGATCTGTCAGTCGACTCAAAGCGCGCCTCCATCTCGGTGCCGTATTGAGCCCCACGCACCCCTCCGTCCCAGTGCCCTCGTCGCTCTGCCTCACGTGATCTGTCAGTCGACTCAAAGCGCGCCTCCATCTCGGTGCCGTATTGAGCCCCACGCACCCCTCCGTCCCAGTGCCCTCGTCGCTCTGCCTCACGTGACTTGTGAGTCGACTCAAAGCGCGCCTCCATCTCGGTGCCGTATTGAGCCCCACGCACCCCTCCGTCCCAGTGCCCTCGTCGCTCTGCCTCACGTGACTTGTGAGTCGACTCAAAGCGCGCCTCCATCTCGGTGCCGTATTGAGCCCCACGCACCCCTCCGTCCCAGTGCCCTCGTCGCTCTGCCTCACGTGACTTGTGAGTCGACTCAAAGCGCGCCTCCATCTCGGTGCTGTATTGAGCCCCACGCACCCCTCCGTCTCAGTGCCCTCGTCGCTCTGCCTCACGTGACTTGTGAGTCGACTCAAAGCGCGCCTCCATCTCGGTGCTGTATTGAGCCCCACGCACCCCTCCGTCTCAGTGCCCTCGTCGCTCTGCCTCACGTGACTTGTGAGTCGACTCAAAGCGCGCCTCCATCTCGGTGCTGTATTGAGCCCCACGCACCCCTCCGTCTCAGTGCCCTCGTCGCTCTGCCTCACGTGACTTGTGAGTCGACTCAAAGCGCGCCTCCATCTCGGTGCTGTATTGAGCCCCACGCACCCCTCCGTCTCAGTGCCCTCGTCGCTCTGCCTCACGTGACATGTGAGTCGACTCAAAGCGCGCCTCCATCTCGGTGCTGTATTGAGCCCCACGCACCTCTCCGTCTCAGTGCCCTTCTCGCTCTGCCTCACGTGACATGTGAGTCGACTCAAAGCGCGCCTCCATCTCGGTGCTGTATTGAGCCACACGCACCTCTCCGTCTCAGTGCCCTTCTCGCTCTGCCTCACGCGACCTGTGAGTCGACTCAAAGCGCGCCTCCATCTCTGTGCCGTATTGAGCCCCACGCACCTCTCCATCTCAGTGCCCTTGTCGCTCTGCCTCACGCGACCTGTGAGTCGACTCAAAGCGCGCCTCCATCTCTGTGCCGTATTGAGCCCCACGCACCTCTCCATCTCAGTGCCCTTGTCGCTCTGCCTCACGCGACCTGTGAGTCGACTCAAAGCGCGCCTCCATCTCTGTGCCGTATTGAGCCCCACGCACCTCTCCATCTCAGTGCCCTTGTCGCTCTGCCTCACGCGACCTGTGAGTCGACTCAAAGGGCGCCTCCATCTCTGCCCGTGCCTGTGCTGCCCGTTGCTGCCCGTGCCTGTGCTGCCCGTGCCTGTGCTGCCCGTTGCTGCCCGTGCCTGTGCTGCCCGTGCTCTTCCCCCTCCCCCCCCCTCACTCTTCTTTCGTCGTCTCCCTGCTGCGCGTGCAGCCGTGGAACGGAGGGTATGGGGGTGGCGGGTGTGGGGGTGATACGTGTGCGTCGTCCCTTCCTTCTCCTCCTCCGTCTCCTACTGCTGCAGCTGCCGCTAAGGGGGGTGGATGTGTGGGAGCCGAGGGGAGTGGCGCTAGGGGGGTGCCGTGGTAGTGGATCTAGGGGTGCAGCACGGGGTGTGTGAGAAGGGGGTGTGGGACAGTTAGGGGAGGTTGAGCGGAGGTCGCCATCGTGTTGTCAGCAGCGCCAGTAGTCCGGAGACCTCGTGCTCTCGGTAGCCCAGCGAGCCTGCTTCGCCAGTTGCCTGTGGGTCCGTTACTCCTGCCGCTCGTCGTAGCCGCGGAGTCAGATACTCCCGTAGTCCGGTGCCCTCGTGCGCTCGGTAGCCACTGTGCGCGCCGCTCCTGTTGCCCGTGCGACTGCGGCTTCACCCGTCGCCTTCTCTCTCCACTCTCCTCACTGTTCCTTCTCCTCCTCCTCCCTACGCCTCTACTTTTGCTGTGCCCTTCAGGGTGTACCACTTCATGGGTATTCTGCTCAATGGCTATTCCTGCATGCACTTAGGGGGTGTGTTAGAATATATCTTATATATATGTCTGTATAAGTGCATGTAGTCCTAGCTGTAGAGTAGTTACCTAGTGTTTTGTGTGGTGGTGCACCACTCCTTGCTGGTTCTCTTCTATTTGTACCTCTCTTTTCATAGTGCAACCTCTCCTTTGCTTGGACTCCTCCTTTTGCCTAGGCTAAACCCTAGTTACCTAGTCCAAAGTCATGCCTATTATTTCAACCCACGCACCTCTCCATCTCCGTGCCCTTGTCGCTCTGCCTCGCGCGACCTGTGAGGCGACTCAAAGCGCGCGCCTCCATCTCCGTGCCGTAGTGAGCCCCACGCACCTCTCCTCTCCATCTCCGTGCCCTTGTCGCTCTGCCTCGCGCGACCTGTGAGGCGACTCAAAGCGCGCGCCTCCGTCTCCGTGCCGTAGTGAGCCCCACGCACCTCTCCTCTCCATCTCCGTGCCCTTGTCGCTCTGCCTCGCGCGACCTGTGAGGCGACTCAAAGCGCGCGCCTCCGTCTCCGTGCCGTAGTGAGCCCCACGCACCTCTCCTCTCCATCTCGGTGCCCTTGTCGCTCTGCCTCGCGCGACCTGTGAGGCGACTCAAAGCGCGCGCCTCCGTCTCCGTGCCGTAGTGAGCCCCACGCACCTCTCCTCTCCATCTCGGTGCCCTTGTCGCTCTGCCTCGCGCGACCTGTGAGGCGACTCAAAGCGCGCGCCTCCGTCTCCGTGCCGTAGTGAGCCCCACGCCCCTCTCCTCTCCATCTCGGTGCCCTTGTCGCTCTGCCTCGCGCGACCTGTGAGGCGACTCAAAGCGCGCGCCTCCGTCTCCGTGCCGTAGTGAGCCCCACGCCCCTCTCCTCTCCATCTCGGTGCCCTTGTCGCTCTGCCTCGCGCGACCTGTGAGGCGACTCAAAGCGCGCGCCTCCGTCTCCGTGCCGTAGTGAGCCCCACGCCCCTCTCCTCTCCATCTCGGTGCCCTTGTCGCTCTGCCTCGCGCGACCTGTGAGGCGACTCAAAGCGCGCGCCTCCGTCTCCGTGCCGTAGTGAGCCCCACGCCCCTCTCCTCTCCATCTCGGTGCCCTTGTCGCTCTGCCTCGCGCGACCTGTGAGGCGACTCAAAGCGCGCGCCTCCGTCTCCGTGCCGTAGTGAGCCCCACGCCCCTCTCCTCTCCATCTCCGTGCCCTTGTCGCTCTGCCTCGCGCGACCTGTGAGTCGACTCAAAGCGCGCGCCTCCGTCTCCGTGCCGTAGTGAGCCCCACGCGCCTCTCCATCTCCGTGCCCTTGTCGCTCTGCCTCGCGCGACCTGTGAGTCGACTCAAAACGCACCTCCGTCTCCGTGCCGTAGTGAGCCCCACGCGCCTCTCCATCTCCGTGCCCTTGTCGCTCTGCCTCGCGCGACCTGTGAGGCGACTCAAAAGCGCGCGCCTCCGTCTCCGTGCCGTAGTGAGCCCCACGCCCTCTCCTCTCCATCTCCGTGCCCTTGTCGCTCTGCCTCGCGCGACCTGTGAGGCGACTCAAAGCGCGCGCCTCCGTCTCCTGTGCCGTAGTGAGCCCCACGCCCTCTCCTCTCCATCTCCGTGCCCTTGTCGCTCTGCCTCGCGCGACCTGTGAGGCGACTCAAAGCGCGAGCCTCCGTCTCCTGTGCCGTAGTGAGCCCCACGCCCCTCTCCTCTCCATCTCCGTGCCCTTGTCGCTCTGCCTCGCGCGACCTGTGAGGCGACTCAAAGCGCGCGCCTCCGTCTCCGTGCCGTAGTGAGCCCCACGCCCCTCTCCTCTCCATCTCCGTGCCCTTGTCGCTCTGCCTCGCGCGACCTGTGAGGCGACTCAAAGCGCGCGCCTCCGTCTCTGTGCCGTAGTGAGCCCCACGCCCTCTCCTCTCCATCTCCGTGCCCTTGTCGCTCTGCCTCGCGCGACCTGTGAGGCGACTCAAAGCGCGCGCCTCCGTCTCCGTGCCGTAGTGAGCCCCACGCCCCTCTCCTCTCCATCTCCGTGCCCTTGTCGCTCTGCCTCGCGCGACCTGTGAGGCGACTCAAAGCGCGCGCCTCCGTCTCCGTGCCGTAGTGAGCCCCACGCCCCTCTCCTCTCCATCTCCGTGCCCTTGTCGCTCTGCCTCGCGCGACCTGTGAGGCGACTCAAAGCGCGCGCCTCCGTCTCCGTGCCGTAGTGAGCCCCACGCCCCTCTCCTCTCCATCTCCGTGCCCTTGTCGCTCTGCCTCGCGCGACCTGTGAGGCGACTCAAAGCGCGCGCCTCCGTCTCCGTGCCGTAGTGAGCCCCACGCCCCTCTCCTCTCCATCTCCGTGCCCTTGTCGCTCTGCCTCGCGCGACCTGTGAGGCGACTCAAAGCGCGCGCCTCCGTCTCCGTGCCGTAGTGAGCCCCACGCCCCTCTCCTCTCCATCTCCGTGCCCTTGTCGCTCTGCCTCGCGCGACCTGTGAGGCGACTCAAAGCGCGAGCCTCCGTCTCCTGTGTCGTAGTGAGCCCCACGCCCTCTCCTCTCCATCTCCGTGCCCTTGTCGCTCTGCCTCGCGCGACCTGTGAGGCGACTCAAAAGCGCAGCCTCCGTCTCCTGTGTCCGTAGTGAGCCCCACGCCCTCTCCTCTCCATCTCCGTGCCCTTGTCGCTCTGCCTCGCGCGACCTTGTGAGTCGACTCAAAGCGCGAGCCTCCGTCGCTGTGTCCGTAGTGAGCCCCACGCGCCTCTCCATCTCCGTGCCCTTGTCGCTCTGCCTCGCGCGACTTGTGAGTCGACTCAAAAGCGCAGCCTCCGTCGCTGTGTCGTAGTGAGCCCCACGCGCCTCTCCATCTCCGTGCCCTTGTCGCTCTGCCTCGCGCGACTTGTGAGTCGACTCAAAACGCACCTCCGTCGCCTGTGTCGTAGTGAGCCCCACGCGCCTCTCCATCTCCGTGCCCTTGTCGCTCTGCCTCGCGCGACTTGTGAGTCGACTCAAAACGCACCTCCGTCGCTGTGTCGTAGTGAGCCCCACGCGCCTCTCCATCTCCGTGCCCTTGTCGCTCTGCCTCGCGCGACTTGTGAGTCGACTCAAAACGCACCTCCGTCGCTGTGTCGTAGTGAGCCCCACGCGCCTCTCCATCTCCGTGCCCTTGTCGCTCTGCCTCGCGCGACTTGTGAGTCGACTCAAAACGCACCTCCGTCGCTGTGTCGTAGTGAGCCCCACGCGCCTCTCCATCTCCGTGCCCTTGTCGCTCTGCCTCGCGCGACTTGTGAGTCGACTCAAAACGCACCTCCGTCGCTGTGTCGTAGTGAGCCCCACGCGCCTCTCCATCTCCGTGCCCTTGTCGCTCTGCCTCGCGCGACTTGTGAGTCGACTCAAAACGCACCTCCGTCGCTGTGTCGTAGTGAGCCCCACGCGCCTCTCCATCTCCGTGCCCTTGTCGCTCTGCCTCGCGCGACTTGTGAGTCGACTCAAAACGCACCTCCGTCGCTGTGTCGTAGTGAGCCCCACGCGCCTCTCCATCTCCGTGCCCTTGTCGCTCTGCCTCGCGCGACTTGTGAGTCGACTCAAAACGCACCTCCGTCGCTGTGTCGTAGTGAGCCCCACGCGCCTCTCCATCTCCGTGCCCTTGTCGCTCTGCCTCGCGCGACTTGTGAGTCGACTCAAAACGCACCTCCGTCGCTGTGTCGTAGTGAGCCCCACGCGCCTCTCCATCTCCGTGCCCTTGTCGCTCTGCCTCGCGCGACTTGTGAGTCGACTCAAAACGCACCTCCGTCGCTGTGTCGTAGTGAGCCCCACGCGCCTCTCCATCTCCGTGCCCTTGTCGCTCTGCCTCGCGCGACTTGTGAGTCGACTCAAAACGCACCTCCGTCGCTGTGTCATAGTGAGCCCCACGCGCCTCTCCATCTCCGTGCCCGTAGGGAGAATGGGGCGGGGTGATGGAAAGCGGGAGAATGGGGCGGGGTGATGGAAAGCGGGAGAATGGGGCTGGGTGATGGAAAGAGGGAGAATGGGGCGGGGCGATGGAAAGCGGGAGAATGGGGCGGGGTGATGGAAAGCGGGAGAATGGGGCGGGGTGATGGAAATCGGGAGAATGGGGCTGGGCGATGGAAAGAGGGAGAATGGGGCGGGGTGATGGAAAGAGGGAGAATGAGGCTGGGTGATGGGAAGAGGGAGAATGGGGCGGGGTGATGGAAGGAGGGAGAATGGGGCTGGGTGATGGAAATCGGGATAATGGGGCGGGGTGTTTGAAAGAAGGGGAATGGGGCTGGGTGATGGAAAGAGGGAGAATGGGGCGGGGTGATGGAAAGCAGGAGAATGGGGCGGGGTGATGGAAAGCGGGAGAACGGGGCGGGGTAATGGAAGGAGGGAGAACGGGGCGGGGTGATGGAAAGATAGAGAATGGGGCGGGGTGATGGAAAGCGGGAGAATGGGGCGGGGCAATGGAAAGAGGGAGAATGGGACGAGGCGATGGAAAGCGAGAGAACGGGGCGGGGTGATGGATAGAGGGAGAATGGGGCGGGGTGATGGAAAGAGGGAGAATGGGGCGGGGCGATGGAAAGAGGGAGAATGGGGCGGGGTGATGAAAACAGGGAGAATGGGGTCGGGTGATGGAAAGAGGGAGAATGGGGCTGGGTGATGGAAAGAGGGAGAATGGGGCGGGGCGATGGAAAGAGGGGGAATGGGTCGGGGTGATGCAAAGCGGGAGAATGGGGCGGGGTGATGGAAAGAGGGAGAATGGGGCGGGACGATGGAAAGAGGTAGAATGGGGCGGGGTGATGGAAATCGGGAGAATGGGGCGGGGTGATGGAAAGAGGGAGAATGGGGCGGGGTGATGGAAAGAGGGAGAATGGGGCGGGGTGATGGAAAGAGGGAGAATGGGGCGGGGTGATGGAAAGAGGGAGAATGGGGCGGGGCGATGGAAAGAGGGAGAATGGGGCGGGGCGAAGGAAAGCGGGAGAATGGGGCGGGGCGATGGAAAGAGGGAGAATGAGGCGGGGTGATGGAAAGCGGGAGAATGGGCGGGGTGATGGAAAGAGGGAGAATGGGGCAGGGCGATGGAAGAGGCAGAATGGGGCGGGGTGATGGAAAGAGGGAGAATGGGGCGGGGTGATGGAAAGCGGGAGATTGGGGCGGGGCGATGGAAAGCGGGAGAATGGGGCGGGGCGATGGAAAGCGGGAGAATGGGGCGGGGTGATGGAAAGCGGGAGAATGGGGCGGGGTGATGGAAAGCGGGAGAAAGGGGTGGGGTGATTGAAAGCGGGAGAATGGGGCGAGGTGATGGAAAGCGGGAGAATGGGGCGGGGTGATGGAAAGCGGGAGAATGGGGCGGGGAGATGGAAAGCGGGAAAATAGGGCGGTGCAATGGAAAGAGGGAGAATGGGGCGGGGCGATGGAAAGCGGGTGGAAAGAGGGAGAATGGGGCGGGGTGGTTGAAAGAGGGAGAACGGGGCAGGGTAATGGAAAGAGGGAGAATGGGGCTGGGTGATGGAAAGAGGGGGAATGGGGTGGGGTGATGGATAGAGGGAGAATGGGGCGGGGTGATGGAAATTGGGAGAATGGGGCGGGGTGATAGAAAGAGGGAGAATGGGGCGGGGTGATGGAAAGAGGGAGAATGGGGCGGGGTGATGGAAAGCGGGAGAATGGGGCGGGGTGATGGAAAGAGGGAGAATGGGGCGGGGCGATGGAAAGCGGGAGAATGGGGCGGGGCGATGGAAAGCGGGAGAATGGGGCGGGGTGATGGAAAGCGGGAGAATGGGGCTGGGTGATGGAAAGAGGGAGAATGGGGCGGGGTGATGGAAAGAGGGAGAATGGGGCGGGGTGATGGAAAGAGGGAGAATGGGGCGGGGTGATGGAAAGAGGGAGAATGGGGTTGGGTGATGGAAAGAGGGAGAATGGGGTTGGGTGATGGAAAGAGGGAGAATGGGGCGGGGCGATGGAAAGAGGGAGAATGGGGCGGGGTGATGGAAAGCGGGAGATTGGGGCGGGGTGATGGAAAGAGGGAGAATGGGGGGGGGGCGATGGAAATAGGGAGAATGGGGCGGGGTGATGGAAAGCGGGAGAATGGGGCGGGGTGATGGAAAGAGGGAGAATGGGGTGGGGTGATGGAAAGAGGGAGAATGGGGCGGGGTGATGGAAAGAGAGAGAATGGGGCGGGGTGATGGAAAGAGGGAGAATGGGGCTGGGTGATGGAAAGAGGGAGAATGGGGCTGGGTGATGGAAAGAGGGAGAATGGGGCGGGGCGATGGAAAGCGGGAGAATGGGGCGGGGCGATGGAAAGAGGGAGAATGAGGCGGGGTGATGGAAAGCAGGAGAATGGGGCGGGGTGATGGATAGAGGGAGAATGGGGCGGGGCGATGGGAAGAGGCAGAGTGGGGCGGGGTGATGGAAAGAGGGAGAATGGGGCGGGGTGATGGAAAGCGGGAGATTGGGGCGGGGCGATGGAAAGCGCGAGAATGGGGCGGGGCGATGGTAAGCGGGAGAATGGGGCGGGGTGATGGAAAGCGGGAGAATGGGGCGGGGTGATGGAAAGCGGGAGAATGGGGCGGG